CCCTGGCTCCCGGCGCGGGGCAGGGTGGTGGCAGGCGCGGGGGGGCCCCAGCCCCCGGCTCCCGGTCGGGCCCGCCTCCCCGGGCTGGTGGGTCCACAGCCAATGATTTCGGGGAGCAGCTGAAAAGAAAACACGGAGGGGAGCGGTCTCCGGGTCGGAGCGAGGCCGAGCAGGGCAGCGTCCCGTGGCACGAGCAGCCCGGAGATAGGGAAAGGACCCCGTGGGCCCCAGGGTAGATGTACCAGCAATTTGGCCCGGGCCAGGAGGAGTTGCCCAGGACTTGGCGGGGCAGCCGAGGTTGTGCAGGAGGCGATGCCAGGGCTGCAGCCTGGCACCCACCAAGGTCTCCCCCTGCTCACAGCTGGTGCAGCTGTGGGGGGAGTCTGTGGAAATTATGAAGTACCACGTTGCAAATCTTAAGAGTAGGCTTCAGATGCTGTAACTGAGCAGCACAGGGAACCAGAATGACCCATTCGTGATCAGTTGTATTGAAAGTCCTACCTTCAAGCCCCATGTCAAGGTGATGCAAGCTGTGACCGAATCCTGTTATTTCTGGTCAACAGTGGATATGAATGAGCTCTCTGATACTGCATGTTTCTTTTCCTTGTTCTCTTTCCCAAATCTGAGAGTGACTTCCGCATGTATGGTGACATTTTTAAATTGAGGATGTAAAAATCTCTTTAACTGCATTGAGTGAACAACCTAGGGATTAATAATGGAGTTTCCATAAGAATTTGCCTGAGAGGAGAGAATTGATCTTATGCTTTGGGGATAATTGACTGAATCCTTGTCTTTGGGCCTCTTGTGGATTTTTAAAAATGTCTCTCTAATTCTTGAATATTGGTTGAGGTGTGTGACCTTAAATTCATATTTGGGCTTTACTTTAGTGATCCTGGTAATAATCTCCAATGAGAGGGTTTAGGATCACTAGGACTGCAAACAGATGCTGCATTTGTCCTGGGAGAAGCCATTTTCTTTTGGGACAAATTGTGATTGTTCAGATGTCCTTATTTGTTGTCCCAGGACTAACTCTAAAAAGGTTTGCAGGATAAGAGTGCTAACAGTTTATCCTAGGATATTGCAAAGTGCAGCTGAAGGGCTGTCTCGGGTTTGCATCATTGGATCAGTGGCAGAAAAGCAGCAGTACGTTCAACTTGATTGGAAGGGTGATGTGTGTACGCACCAATCCTGTGACTTTGCTGTTCTGGAACAAGCACAGGCACAACTGGTCCTGGGTCAGATACACATCTGTTCCTAGCCTAAGTTTAAAAGCCAGATAAAAGTGCTCTCAAAGAGTGGCCAACAACAGAATTTCCAAGGGAGTTTGTGGGAGGGAGTTCAGCAGCTGCTTGATAGACAACTTGGTCTCTGTGAAAAGCCTTAATTTAGAGCAGAGATGTCAAACTCACATTGTGGCCTTGGTCAGATATGGACTGCAGGTTTCCTCATCATCTCTACCCAGACTGTGGGGCACGGGGAAGCTGTGATGGCATCAGCAGCTCTAGCTCCAACCCAGGGCAGATGGTGGCCGCTCCAGCCCCTGTGCCACAGCATGCCCTATGCAATGGTGGCAGCTCCAGCTCTGGTACCAGCATGGGGCACATAGTGGAGGATTGGTGACCAGGAAGGTAGGGCTGCAACAGTGCAGATGGGCAAAGTGAACTGCTGCCAACTGCCACGTCCATCAGGCATTGAATACAGGTTTCCCTTGCTTTATACGGGTTCTGTATGTGCGAATTCGCTCTTATGCGATGACCCTTTTTATACCAAAATTCATTATATGCCAGGTAAATTCACTCCTATGAGAGGGATGGGGGGGAAGCCTGCAGTCAACTGCTTTGTGTGGTGCATTGTGGGAGTGATGCACATCAAAATATAGTCTGTGTGGATCTGTTCTCCTTACTCATTGTTTGCAACACCCCTGTTATGGTAATTTCACCACCACCCTCTCTCTTGTGTGTATTGTCTGCAGTTGGTGAGTACCAAAATTGTGTTGTAGAAGTGGTAGAAATGGGTTTGGGGTGTCAGTATAGTCGAGGTCTTGGAACATATCCCTATTTGTTACATTGGAAAGTGGGTTCCCTATATGCGAATTTGAGTTATGTGTTGTTTTCCAGGAACGCATGGACAGCATAAAGCAAGGGAAACCTGTAGTGATCCACCATAACGTCAGTGACACCACAGAAGGCGTTACTGCCTAGTTTTAGGATTGCCATAATGGTCTGGGAAAGATGCAGAAAGAGAAATGTGAAGATCCCTTCCAACCCTAACTTTGTACAATTCTAAGATGATCTTGGAAATGAAGTAAAAATGGTATAAACACCAAGATCTGCAAACATAGACCCAAAGCATCATTGATACAATGTACCCAAATAGTGAGGGGCATGTAAGGATCCCTTTTTTTAAATAGTCTATATACCAATGTTAGGATCCTAGATTCTCATGTACCAGAAGGTGTGATTTGGTTGGTATTAATGAATCTTGGAGTAGCAATTTGGCCTGGCATGTTAACATTTGTTACAACATATTCTGTAAAGGTAGAGTGCCCAAAGGGGTTGACCCGTGGCAAGTTTACATAAAGACACCACTGCTTGTTACAGAGTGCAGGGCATTTAGAATCACAGGATCTCAAAATCTAATAAAATCTAACTAGTAAAAATTAAGATGGGCCCCTGGTACAGGCTGCTTGTGCTCACTGGAGAACAGAGTTGGTCCTAAAGCATGTGTCCATAATTTGTCCTTAACGTACAGGAAGAAAAACTGTTTTTAGAGGTGGGTTCAACTGGGAACAATCGTTAGACATCTCATGCAGCCAGTAATAAAACTTCCTTAAAATTTTACAAGTAATTAATGATAATTTCTTAACATAGAAAATTCTGCATCCATCACAAGATAATTCAATATGGACTCTCATTCTGCAGACAAAGAAAAGTTAATCTGACCGAAAGCTTACCGGTTTACCATGTACAAGCTATCACAAATTTTTTACATTTACCCTGAACAAACAGAAGTTGTTCCAAACTACTATTTTATATACTGGATTTTCAGAAGGGCCGGTTATACAAAGTTTAAAGCCATTTTTGGTATAATTGATTGTAAATATCAAATTTATGGTGGGAAGCACTAGCTAAAACTGGGAAGTAGAATCATAGAATTGTTGAAGGATAGGCTCTTGCATGCTTCAAAAACTACAATTCTAGTTACAAAAAAATGGCAGAAAGTAGGCAGTTTGGTTCATATGAATGACTATATATTGGAGTCCAAAAAAATTAATGTTATCAACAACCAACAAGATTAAAATTATTATAAGACATTTAAAAAAAACACATTAGAGGGTCAGGCATAGACCCATTGCTAGAAGCTAACCAGTGATGCAGAAAAGGAAGAAGAGTTTAATTTCTATTTTGTATTGGCATGAAGCAGGGTAATGTATCCATCCCTGGGATTTTATAGGAACTACTTGAGAGTTCTCTGGATCAGTAATGTTTGAACAAGTCTTGGAACACAGGAATTGGAGGACTGCAAATGTAGTTCCAATATTTAAGGAGGGTGCAAAGTAAAAAACTAATGTGAAGAACTACAGACTGGTTAGCCCAGGGGTGGGCAAATATTTGGGCCAGAGCATCACTTAGTGAGTTTTGGTGAGCTGTTGCAGGCCAGGTCAGCACCCCTTTCCCATCCCCCACCCACAACAGTTAGCCAAAACTCCGTAAGTGGTAGACTGGCCCCAGACCCCTGCAGGCAGGGCGTACTCGGCCGGGTGGATGGGGCTACGGGTGGGTGGGGAGCAATGTCCAGGAATGGGATGGGTGGGCAGGGGCAGGGCTGGGCCCAGGATTATGGGCAGTGACAGTGTAGGGCTGGAGCAGAGCTGCGATCTGCTCCCCACATGACTGATAGTTACCAGCCCAACCCAGAAGGGCCCATGCACCTCTGGCTCATGCCCGTGACCCAACTCCCACTGGCCTTGCCCCAGCACAGGTGTGTGTGGGGAGCCCCAGTACAGTTATGAAGTGGCATGGTGCAGCAGCATGGGCCAGTCCCAATGAATTATGGCCAGATTAGGCTGCCTCACACTGTCAGGCTGCGCCTCTCTGCAGCCATGCTGTACTAGGGCTACACTCCACTCCCCCCCTTGGGTGAGGCCAGTAATGATACCTTGTGCAGGGAGCAAATTGTGTCTGTGCCCTGGCCTTGCGCTGTCATGGCACCACGATCCCCAGCCCTGGCCTTGTCTGTCTGTCTTGCTCCCAGATGCCGCTCCCCACCCAACTGGCGGCCCTATCCCATCTGCCTGGCTGAGTGCACCCTGCCCATGGGGGTCCCAGGCTGGTCTCCATGTAGACCCCACCTGCCAACTCTGTCTGGCACCCCTGCCGATAGGTGTGGGGTAGATGGGCTGGGGAACCTGGGCAGTGGGGCTGGGTCTGGCAGCAGCAATGACACTGGCAGTGGCAGCTGGAAGGAGCCACCACCGCAGGGGCTGATTGGAAGTTGAGTCTGGCTGCCATGCCATCTCAGCCCTGCTGCGCGCCTGAGGGTGGCAGGACTGGCCACATGTGCTATGATCTGGGCTGTCACCACTTGCAGACAGGGCCGAAGTTAAACGCTCTGGGAGCAGAGCACAAGGGGGAAGAGGGAAGACTGGTTCTGAAGGAGGGACACAGCCTAGGTTACCCCTCAGGTTCTGAAGAAGGACGGCAGGTGTTGGTTTACCTTAACTATTTGTCGCTTGCACACTTGCTGACCTGCCCTGGGAAGGAAGCTGGGTGAGTGACCTGCTTACAGGTGTGCGGGCCAGGAGCGATCCGGGCCCTTTTTGTGCTCTGCGCGGGCTGTGGCCAGCAGCCCGGGCACGCTGGGTCGGAGAGAACAGGCGACATGCTAGAATTAGGCACGCACGTGTAATGGTTGATTCAAGATTGTTTACTTACACCGAAGATGGTCGCGGTGTAGGCTGGACAGTTTCCCAGGCACAGCTCCGCTTAAATCCTCGTTTGAGGACTCAGACAATACTCGGATCACTCCCACGGAGTTGTCGAGGCTCCGTGGATCCTTTTATTCACTCACAATTCACTCACACGAATTTGCTAGGCTCCGTGGGTCCTTTTGCGCGCAGGGAGAGGGATACGTCGGGGATTGCAAACTGCGACAGGGAGAGACTAGAGGCTGATCAGACCTCTGTTGCCTGCTTGAAATGCACTGGGTCCAATAGGCTCCCCAGCGCCTAGAGATCTTCACACAGCGTGAAGTCTCCTCCTCTTGGTGTTCATGGAGTCCTCCAACTTGGGCGGAAACCACTCAAGCTTTTTATACGGCAAAAAGCCAATTCGTCAGCCGCCACGTGTGAATAATTTCACGCAAGCCAATAATGGGGCTCGAATTAGAATACGAATGGCAGGAACTCTTTGCAACGTGCATTTCTGTGCTGCAAAAAAGAAATGCACACTGCAAAGAAAGCTACAATTTGGCGGGAAAATAATTCAGTGGTGCCAAAGCACACACACAAACAAAAATCAC